ATATAGCCATGCCAGTTTTTCCATCACAAAAATCTAGCCTAACTTTGGAGCCTTATTTACTCCCTTCCCAAGATGCTAGTGTGGCATGTGTGGAGTGGAAGAGGTTAGGATAATGGGGTGGCACTTGGGGTGGCCAGTCAGATTTCAGGCCCCCCCCCTCTGGACACGACCCTGGAAATAGGAAAAGAGTGAGCCATCTCGCTTTCTTCGCATCTCTTTTGATAGTTGCACATGTGTAGTACCAGTACTTTTACACATGAACAGTATAACATACGGAAGATAACCAAGTTTTACTTAGTCACTTGCCTTTAAAAAAACGACATAAAGACAGGATATGCAGGGTAGCCATCATACATACATGAATCCATGGTTAAAAGCAAGTGGCTTACCAACCAGCCAAAGATATGGCTTGGCATGCATATTCTTCTTATTCTACATGTGAGCTCATAGTTGATGTGTGTGTGCAGGGAGCAGCTCTGGAGCAGGCCATCATCAGCCAGAGGCCTCAACTGGAGAAGCTCATTGCCACCACCGCACACGAAAAAATGCCCTGGTTCCATGGAACAATAACACGAGAAGACTCTGAACCCAGGCTTCAAAATGGTGCCCGTACAAATGGAAAATTCCTGTAAGTATTTTACAAGTTGCTCTGTATAGCTTTTGGCTGTAAATGAATGAATTGTAACAAATGCATCCAAATTTGACCAATAATTGAATTATTTGCTAGAATATGGCAAATATCCCCAGAGCTCACAATATCTTATACTCATTCCCATTTTCGACATTGAATAATCAAATTCAGAGCCACTGTTACAGGTCAGGACCAGCCTACTTCCCTGCAAATATTTATTTTTAAGAAACTTTCCTCTTGAAGTCATCATCTCAGGCAGGTTTTCCTCCCAAGCTGTCAAGGGGACTGGGGGCAAGTCCCCCAAACCAATTCAAATCAGCAAACCATTTTAAACCTTTCACCTCAACTGAACATAGAAGAAAACATCTGGATTTTGGTAATTTTTTATGTGAAATGAGATTATATATACACAGCCTTCTTAAGATCTATTATTTTGTATGTATAACCCCCACACCAGCAGCGGCTACATGCGGCCCGCAGTGCTTCATGCCACTGGGGACATGCCTGTTCTTATCTTATTTGTTATTGTTGTTGTTTTAATCTCTAACTTTTTTGTCTTGAACGATGTTCATAATGAGCACCACAGAACTTCAAATATCAGTTTATTCTATTTTAATTTGTGGCATTTGCCACTAGAAAAAGTTTTAATAGTATTCAAAGCCACCCTTTACTATGCAGTATATGCTGTATCAGCTGTATGTTGGTCAGTATTTCAGACACTGAAAGAACTAGCACATTAAAGTAATAAAACCCAGTTACAGAAACAAAACAGAAACTTTGCTGGTCCTTTCTGTGATCGAAATTATATTCTGATAACACAAAAAATGGTAAAATATTAAAGAAATAAAGATATCTACAAATGTAACTCAACCAACTGTAATAGCATTTTATTAGCTGTTGCTGGCTGCTCTTGGAGGCCAGAGCCTAAAGCTTGCAGGTGGGTACAGAGTGTGTGGAATTATCTCATGACCAGCTCCAGGAGATTGACGTGCCGCAGCGCTTCCTGTCTGTGCTTGGGGCGGTGCTTGATGCACGCCATATGCTGTGTGTGCGCCAGTGTGTTTTAGCCTTTACAGTAGTTCTGTTCAAAACTAGTGGAAACTCAGGCTGGTTTGCCAGATAGCACCAAGAATCTTGAACGGAACTGGTTTAAGAAAAATAACTAGTTTGGTGGAATAACGCTAACTATAAACTGCTTCCACACACTAGTAAGTTAATATTTGTGCTCTAATTATAATTAACAGACTATATGAGATCAACAAATCAACAAATCAACAATAATGCAATATTGCTTTACATTGTATTTATATGAATATATGAAATGTTTAAAACGTGTCTCTGCTTTTTGAACAAAGTGAGTGTATTTATAGCAGCTGAAGCTTCAGTTGAGACGCAGTGGCCTCGGCTGAAGAAACACACACGTACGCACGCACACACACACACACACACATACACACACTGTGGTTTCCGTTCTGGCAGTTTGCAAAGAACTTCCTGAAGTAGCCAAACAAGAGGAAGAATGACAGCAGGGCAAGATGTGACTCTTCTGTCCCTTTTCTTATGAAGCGTCTAGGAGGAAACATTGTGTTTCCACTAAAATGCAGCCTTGTCTTATGATTATAGCTTTAAATTCATTTTTATGAGATTATTCCACACACTCTGTAACCACCAGCAAGGTTTAGACTCTGGCCTCCGAGAGCAACCAGCAACAGCTAACAAAATGCTATTCCAATTGGTTGTGCTACATTTGTAGGTATCTGTATTTTTATAATATCTTTGCATTTTGTAAGTCAGCAAAATATAATTTAAAAGGCAAAAAGGATCAGTGCAGGTATAAATGACACACAGGCCAGCTATTTAAGTTCCTGTTTTGGTTCTGTAACTGGGTTTTATAACTTGACTGTGCTAGTTCTTTCTCAGACCCTAATGTCTGAAAATAGTTATTGAACAACAAGATACAGCAGATATATACTGCATGGTAAAGGGTGGCTTTGAATTAACTATTACATTTTTCCCTGGTGGCAAATGCCACAAACTAAAATACAATAAACTGATATTTGAATAGTTTTCAATGTCTTCACAGGGGAATATAAAAAATTTTCAAGATAGAAGATATTAAGATTAAAACAACAAAAATTATGATAACAGCTGGTATAAAAACAAGCTAATTAATAGTCATTGCTAGGTGATATTTTAAAGATATATTGTACACAATATCAAAGCCTCTAAAAAGCTGTGTAATTTGTGTGTAAATTTAAAATGTAAATGTTTGAAGACTGAGGACAAGATTATCAGCTACAGCCATGACTATGAGATGTACTAATAACATTGCAATTTTTGTAATTAGTAACATAATCCATTGTATTAGAAAGAAAAATTAATCTAATTAGAATTCTTTTGGATTACTTTTATTTTTCCCTTTAAACATCTCCACACATCAATGCAAATAAAATTCATTTTGATTATTCAGCATTTACTGTTGGTCCAATCAAATAACAACAAATGTCTTCTGCAGTGTTGGGCTAATAACTCAAAAAATCTTTTGAAAAAAATTTATTACTCATTACTTGCTACTATTTTCAAGTAATATAATTACTTTACTTATTACTCCCTGCCAACAGTAATTAGTTACACTACTAATTATAATATTTTTTGCTACTCTCCACAAAATTGGTAATTTACACTTACAACTATTAAAATCCAGTTTTGTTTTCTAAAATCAAAGTAATGGAATATTTTGAGCTGCTGAATGTAAACATTTCCACCTTCCAAACTAATTTCCTCAACAATTACAAAAATTAATCCGAAGATGTGATTGGATTGTTGGATTTCAGATCAATAGGGGATGACAACAAAACTTTAATTTATTACTTAAAAGGAATTAGTAATGAGTTACACTACTAGTTACTGGGGAAAGTAATATTATTACTGTAATATTATTACTAGTAATTAGTTACTGCCCAACACTGGTCTTCTGTGATTATTTATCAATTTTTCCATGTTGAAAACCATTCTTGTTGTTAGCATGGTTGTTGGCCTTCCACTGTAGTGAAGACAAATATAATGTTAAATAAGACTGGTAAATATATTTCACTTTGGTAAAAACATTACGTTTAATACATTAAGCATGGTGATACTTTCTATGTTGGGCCACTCACCAACATACAGAACAAAACAAAATAGTTCTATATAAATAGAATGTTAATATTTTTACATTATTTAAGGTTTTTATACCAAGTATGATAGCAAATTATAGTATTCTGTAAATTATAAGGTTTATGACCATAATAACACTGAATAATCTGACCAATCGTAATATAATTTGGTTTAATAATACAAGAAGCAGTACTAAATGAAAGCTGTTAGAAGAGCTAAATGAAGAGCTGTTAGGGAACAAAAAGAGCTGGTTGTTGAGCGAAATGATCTGGATCACTAAGAAGAGCCTGAATTCCTGTCACTAGTTTACTGACTCCCATAATGCCTTGGGTTGAGTTGGTTGACCAATCAAAGGCTGTGTGGGCATGTGTTTGAGATCAGAGCTCAAACACATTGCCCAATGTAATAACATGAGATTGAACCCATTCTCCTATAAAGGCATTGGTTATCATAATTTTTAAAACTGCCATATTTTAAAGACATAATCAATAATGTAATCCAAGTAATACTTGATAATGTAACTATAATCTAATTAGACATTTTTTCAAATGTAATCTGGGCTGATTATAGTTTATAGATTATAAATTAGATCAACACAAGATGGAGCAGAACAGATCTGGCTTTTAAAATCACATCTACTTATATTAGGGCCCCATTATATGGTAAAACCATCATATTGTGATTATTTTGACAGATAATACAAGATGATCACAATTAGTGGGAAGGATAATTTTTGCATCACAAATTTACACTGAAAAAAACTATTAAAATCATGTGACATTTGTTAGGGTCTGTACTAAACAAGTTTTCTTACATCTGGAGAACAAGAGTTGAAGGGCCAGGGTATCTCTATAACACTACAGTACTTTATTGTTATGACGCTGTCTGTCACATCTGACCTTTGTTAAACAAACTTCAGCTTCTGCAATTTGCATATTGCACTTGCCCATATTGCAATTAAAATAATATTTCAATTATTTATGCAGTTCTTACTTATATAACATATGTTCCATTGGAAAAAATATGTCACATGTGCTGTTTTCTTGAGTATTATTATTACTTTGAATCATATTGTTCTCTATATCCATTTATGCCTGGTTTATCATTTTCATCTATATTTTAAGTTGTGGTCTATCCTGCCTTCTTGTTATAAGCAAAGTTATAACAAATAAGAACGTGAGAAATAGCTGTTATTGAGAGCCGTCACTTCAAAGGTTAAAATATCAAAAGAAGGTTCATAAAGCAGAAGTCTCTAATAATAAACCATGAGAGTCGATAAGCAGTGCAGAGGGAAGTCATGCAGAAGACGAGATATAAGTAATGTTCTACAAAGAGACACTCACTGCATGTCTTCCCTGCAGACTCTTCAAGCCAAGCAAAGCTTTTCTTGTAACCTCAGTCTACTTCCTGAATGGTTTTTTCTTGATCTTTGTTCTGGTACGATTTTGATGAATGGCTATGTTCTCTTTATAATATATTGTTCAATCTACAGTATATTATTGAGACATTTGTTGCCTTGGAGAGAGGGTTACTTTAAATAGGTAATTTAATAAAATTGTACTAATTACCTGTTGAATAATGTAGTCTGTAATCTAATCCAAGTTATCAAAATATTAAAATAACCTAACTTGATTACTTTCTGTTACTTTTGAATTTCATTAACACCAAATAAAGACAAAAGGAAAGAGTATGTCCGTTTACAGAACGTTCTCAGAACTGGAAGGCAGAACTTGCATTGTACTGTGATGTTGTTCCTCTTTTCTGCTGTAAAGACAGAATAATGACAACATTTCCACCCACTGAGAAGAGTTTCTGAGACCAGAGTACTATTCTTCTTTATTTTTAAATGTATTTTAAAATAGTAATTCTGCTGTAACTGTGCTCTGACTGCTTCCTTTGGTAATTGTAATGGATTAGAGTTACCTTTTTGTATCCAGAATACCTAACTCTGTTAGATGTAATCTGTTACTCTCTAAATCCACTGTTAGCACACTCACTACACTGTACATCCTAAAAACACATCTTAATAAAAGAAGTAAACCCAACTCAAAAATTAATTGTTGAAGTAATAACTCTTTTACATTTTGGTGATTTAATTTCAGTTTGTTCCATTGACTCATTTTCTTTAAGCTGACTTTATATTATTCCAAAATGTAAGCCCCAAAGGCCCAAAATTAATTGGCTACCATTTTGATAATTGATTAGTTATAAAAAGTGGCAACAGTTATATAAAGATGCATTAAGGGTAGTCTTTCTTTATTCAGATAAATAACACATTTTAAATAAGTTTGGAGAAATGCTGCATATGAATGTAATGTACTTATTAGTTTTAGTACAGTTAACTAAATGGTTGAATGTCACTAAATGGTTTCATGCTTAAATTGTTGGAGGTAATACATTTAAACGGTTTAAGGCAATCGGTTTCCTCAAACAGATTGAGTTAAACTAACTCATCGCTGTAACTCAGTAAATGTGGTAATAGTGTTGAAATCTTGGGCTTGCAATAGTTCAGTAAAAACTGTGAATTAGAGTTGGTGTCAAGCATAACTCTTGACATACAATGATTTTATGGTGATCGTGATCTTGGACCAGAGTGGCTCCTATCCAGGTCTCTAGCTGGGTGGTTTATCTCAAAGTCCACTGCTCTTCAACCAAACCCACGCTTCCTTTTCCGAATACTGTAGGCTATTTCTGTCATAAAAAATAGCCTACAGCAATAAAGTTAAAAAACATTAAAACAAAAACAAAGAAGTTTGAAAGAGTTGACTTAGCCCTTCATGATGGTGATCAGACATCATTCAATGATGTTTCTGGCAATAGGATAAAAAAACAACAAAAACTTATACAGATTAAAACAAAAATGTAGCAAGTTTAAAGGAACTACTGGCCACTACATCTATATATGCACCCTTTGGTACTGGTATCAATAAAATCTTCCTATCCCTAAGCCCCTATTAACCTTTATTTTATGGGGTGTCTGGTTAAATTGTCTGTAGAAGGTTATCCTTGTGACACCTGTTGACAGTGTGGTCTGTGGATCATCCAGAGCCGCAGCAACTTCTTAGTACTCTGAGCCACCAGTTTATTGGAGTGGAGGCAGAAATCTCAATAACAGGATGACACCACATACCGCTACAGGAAAGTGAGAAAATATATATTTTAATCATTTTGGCGAGACAACCAAGTTTCCACAGGACATACAACTGTTCACAATGCAAACGCTATTAGATGCATGAGAGGACCTTTTCTTGACCTACCATGACATTAACAGTTAAATTACCAGACTCACAGTTTGCATTTCTGAATATAGTGAATAGTTTATCAACTACAAAAACAACACTGAAATGGAACCAATACTGATTTTCTTTCAGATCCTTTGTACTTTTTTGCTAGTATGAACGTACAATAGGTCATAACTGCATTCATAATGGTCTTAAAAAGTCTTTAAATTGAACCTACAAACCTGCAGAAACCCTGAATTCTGGCAATTCAAATGAATCAACAACAGAGAAAAGTCTTTGTTGTCTCCTCTACTATCATCTACTATTGTTTCTTCTCTTTATTTTTTCTCCTTGTGTGTGCAGGATCCGGCAGAGAGATATGAATGGATCCTATGCTCTGTGTTTACTACATGAAGGCCAAGTCATGCATTATCGCATCGACAGGGACAGGACTGGCAAGCTCTCTATCCCAGATGGCAAAAAGTTTGACACCCTGTGGCAGGTTAACATAATTATTGGCATATTTCTCATTATAAACTATGACTCTCAGGATTAGATGTAGGGTTTCCCAGCACACGTCTGTCTGTCTGTCTGTCTGTCTGTCTGTTATGGTGTATTTCATGGCTGTTATAGTTACATAGACATTACCATGGGTGTGGCCAGAAATTTTAAAATAGGAGTTCGGAATTCCTCATCCCCCACCCTCCTGAGAATTTTTTGGACTAGACAGAAAAAGATTTTGCACTTTAATACTTGTGTGGTTATTGATGCATGTATATAAGCGCTGATCATTGTGATGAGTGTCTGATGTGTGATCTCTCTGCTTCAGCTGGTGGAGCACTACTCATATAAACCAGACGGCCTGCTACGAGTGCTAACAGATCCCTGTCCAAGACCTGATGGAGTCATTGGTAAAAGTGCACACAACTAATAGAAACATGCCTACAAAAAGACTCAGGCCAGCTCACAGATATGGCTGGGTCCATGAAAAGGTCCAGTGAATGGGCTCTCCCCAAACCTGCTTTACTTATATCCACAAATGCTAGTGCTCTCTCTTTTCTATATCAACACATACATGTAAACTGAAATAGACTTCCTCAGTGACGGGGGCTTAATACACATACACTCGGGCTGCGTTTCATTAGTAGTTCAACATGCCCTCGTTCACTTGCCCTCGGCACTTGCCCTCGGGGGAATCCCCGTCGCCATCATAAGTGTCGTTCCAATTGTCTGGAAAACTGAAGTGAACTTGGTGAGATGGACCCTCGGAG